TTTCCCCCCCCCCCCCCGTTTCTCCTGTTTACACAATTATAAATAAGTTCCTCACACTCCCATATAACCCCTTTTCTTGCTCCTTTTGCCCCTCAGAATCACCCATGCACCCCTCTTCTTTCTTCTTTCCTCACTAAGCACACCCCCTCCTCTCTCATTTGACTCCCATCACTCTGATCTTACCTGGCCGTGGAGGTGCAGGGTGCAGCAAGAAGGCAGGACGGTCCCCCCAGGTGCAGCAGAAGCAGGCAGGTAGATGTGTGCCGGTAGACGGGTGCAGGAGAAGTAGGCAGGTAGTTGTAGGCAGGCAGCTGCAGGGAGGCAATTCTGCAGGCAGCAGAAACTTGTGATCCAGATGAAGATAAGAAGAGGACAGACAGGTACTGAGATCCACTCTCTCCTCCTCACTTATATATTAGAATTCTCCCAGACTGACGTCACAGCTCAGAGCATCATCCTTCATCACCTCCCCGACTGACTGCACACCGGGGAGTCACTGCATCATACCCCCCCTACACCTAATCAGAGTCATCTCTACAGATCTGATCACAGAGTCTGCCAAGGGCTCCAATATCATCAGGGACAGAGGTCACAGGGGCCCCGGACACTGAGAGCCCCCCAGAGGAGAGGACACAAGGGTCCCAGAGACTAAGATCCCTGCAGAGGAGAGGACACAGGGGTCCCAGAGACTAAGATCCCCGCAGAGGAGAGGACACAGGGCCCCCCGGAGACTAAGATCCCCGCAGAGGAGAGGACACAGGGCCCCCCGGAGACTAAGATCCCCGCAGAGGAGAGGACACAGGGCCCCCCGGAGACTAAGATCCCCGCAGAGGAGAGGACACAGGGCCCCCCGGAGACTAAGATCCCCGCAGAGGAGAGGACACAGGGCCCCCCGGAGACTAAGATCCCCGCAGAGGAGAGGACACAGGGCCCCCCGGAGACTAAGATCCCCGCAGAGGAGAGGACACAGGGCCCCCCGGAGACTAAGATCCCCGCAGAGGAGAGGACACAGGGCCCCCCGGAGACTAAGATCCCCGCAGAGGAGAGGACACAGGGCCCCCCGGAGACTAAGATCCCCGCAGAGGAGAGGACACAGGGCCCCCCGGAGACTAAGATCCCCGCAGAGGAGAGGACACAGGGCCCCCCGGAGACTAAGATCCCCGCAGAGGAGAGGACACAGGGCCCCCCGGAGACTAAGATCCCCGCAGAGGAGAGGACACAGGGCCCCCCGGAGACTAAGATCCCCGCAGAGGAGAGGACACAGGGCCCCCCGGAGACTAAGATCCCCGCAGAGGAGAGGACACAGGGCCCCCCGGAGACTAAGATCCCCGCAGAGGAGAGGACACAGGGCCCCCCGGAGACTAAGATCCCCGCAGAGGAGAGGACACAGGGCCCCCCGGAGACTAAGATCCCCGCAGAGGAGAGGACACAGGGCCCCCCGGAGACTAAGATCCCCGCAGAGGAGAGGACACAGGGCCCCCCGGAGACTAAGATCCCCGCAGAGGAGAGGACACAGGGCCC